GATCTGGCAGACTTCATATACAAACCTGAATATAACTCGTCTCAATTATCTTGTATCATTTGTTGGAGATACATAATAATATGAGATTTTTACCCGAACTGAGACTGTCTTCAAAAATGTTAATTGCAATTACTTTATAGATATATTCGTTCGTAGATAATTCTGGGGTGTTTATCTTTTTCTAAATTTTATTGTGTCGGCACTGAAAAAATGATGGTATCTTTTTCCATGAAAAATTTACATTGATAATTGCATAGTCACATGTATATTGCTAACGAAACTGGTATTAAAAGGTAATTTTAATGTTTTAGGAAAAGCATTCTCTCTCTCTCTCTCTCTCTCTCTCTCTCTCTCTCTCTCTCTCTCTCTCTCTCTCTCTCTCTCTCTCTCTTACTGCCCGTCTGTCTGTCTGCCCGTCTCTCTGTCTGCTTCTCTCTGTCTGTATCTCTCTGTCACTGTCTGTCTGTCGCCTCTCTTCTCCCCTTCTCCTCTCCTCTACTTCCTCTGCTCTCTTCGTCCTTCTGCTTTCTTCTCTCCCTCTCTTCTCTCTCTCTGATACTTCGAACTTGAGATGTTTACAAACAATGCATAAAGTGTGACCTGACTTGATACAGCTCTACACACACTAACTCCTCAATAAAAGCTTACATAGCATACTAGTCTGCGGTGTCTTTGTACCAATACTCCACCATTATGTAAACAAGAATATAAAAGCGTAGTCATTGCTGGAGGAAAGTGACAACAATTCTGAAAATCTACTGTCGCATATTTCAGCTCATTTACTAAGAAACAGTTGTGATTAGACTAGATTAGAACAGTAAATTTGTGCCTCATATATGATCTTGCAAATCACACACAGACATCGTCTGTGTTGAAGAATGAGACACAGACATTTGGGAATGCTTACTGAGGAAGCGTCTCGCCAGTTGGTGGCTTCTTTAGTTTAATACTAAGAAGAACGGTGAAAGAAGAGTAGGAGTTTGAAGGAATCAGTCTATCAGCCTGAAGCTGAAGTGAAGTAACTTATATACTGTAGTCAGGTGAGTTTAAGCAGGTGGAGACGGAGACATACGTGAAGGATCCACTAGTGCAAGTAGGTCTTGCCTATAGGTTAGACGAGCGTTGAAGAATTCCTTGTATCAAGATCCAAAATGCTGCAGTGTCTAATTACCTCAGACTCCTCTTCTTCCATCATTCTTCTTTATAATGGACTGAAGACGCCACTGGCTGGCGAAACGTTTCCTAGACAAAGATCTCCAAATCTTGCACAAGTGTCTCATCCTTCATCTTGTCGGTTTTGTGAGACACTTACATCACATGATCTTTTTTAACACAAACACTGTTTTAACACAAGCAAACACTGTTTTAACAACAGCAAACACTGTGTTAACACAAACATTTTTAACACAAACACTGTTTTAACACAAGCAAACACTGTTTTAACAACAGCAAACACTGTGTTAACACAAACATTTTTAACACAAACGAACACTGTTTTAACACAAACAAACACTGTTTTAACACAAGCAAATACTGCTTTAACACAAACAAACAGTTTTAACACAAGCAAACACTGTTTTAACGCCAGCAAACATTGTGTTAACACAAACACTTTTAACACAAGCGAACACTGTTTTAACACAAGCAAATACTGCTTTAACACTAACAAACACTGTTTTAACACAAGCAAACACTGTTTTAAAAACAGCAAACATTGTGTTAACGCAAACACTTTTAACACAAACGAACACAGTTTTAACACAAGCAAACACTCTTTAACACAAGCAAACACTGTTTTAACACGGAACAGACATCAATTCCATTAATACAAGTATACATTGCCTTACATTGTCTCAAACATCAACGATACTGATACATCATAAACTGCTTTTATGTATTATTAAGAGAGTTGCTGTGACGAAAGTGTCTTAAAGAGGGAATGCATCAAGGTCTTGGATGGTATTTCTGATCAGCTCTGCTGTTTTGTTTGCTAGACTGTGTGCCAAAAACAGTAATTAATAACAAGGAGAATTTCAGGTTTCCCACCTTATTAAATTGTGCAAATGATGTAAATTAAAATCTTAACACTATCATTACGGTTGTTGTGTAATTCTCGAGAGACATTGATGGATTATTGCCATTTGATTTTTAATTTTTTTTTTAAAGCATGTTCAAGAACATTATAGTTCTGTTTTCACTTGTGGCAGCCACCAGTTCATTGTCAGTAGTGTAGTTTAGTGTTAATCAGTATGTCTTAATATTAACTTTCACTGTCTTCTATATTTTGCTTCTCATTGATCAGGTTGCTCTGGTAACAATAATCTATAAAAGGTTGTACAACTAAACGGAATACCACCATCTCTTCACCGAGGAGCAGTTTGAAGCTCAACATGATATCAACCAGACAATCTGGCACTTATTGCAACAAGAGACGCTAACAAGGCATTTGACAAACTCTCGTAAGATAGCCTAATGTCCAAACTAGCTGATATTTCCGACCATAACCAGACAATTTCCTAAGCAACATACACATAATCTCTTCCTTCATTTATAAACGAAAAAAATTCATACCTACAGCTGGAGTGCCATAGAACTCCTGCCTGAAACGTCAGTGTTAATGGTTCACCCCAATTTGCTGATGAAGTAATGCATGCGACCTCCACCACAGCAGACAACAGCAAACAGGCGAAAGTGATTGAAAAAATGATCGAGGAAATGAGAAGAATAGTAAACTGACCTGACAATGAACAACTTAGCTCAATAGAATGCTACCCAACGACAACACAGACCAACGGAGGAATTACGATCAAGGATACCTCACTCTCCGTCAGGGTGCTAATAAAATCTTGTCCTTGGTCACCACATGGAGACGAACAGGTCAGGACCTGTTCTGGCAAGCCTACCTGAACCTGATATAATCTTGTGTTATGAGACTGACAGGCTGCTCTGAAACAAATATGTGAGAGACAAAGTAAATGTAGGAAAAGCAGATTTTTACCCTCTGCGTAGATTCCATCAGAGCCCCAGAAGACGTCAAGAAACGCCTCGATTAAATGACTTGGATATCATTGACATCCAAGTCCAACAAGCTGCAGCTCTCCATACACCACAAAATAAGCTTTCTATTTTGTCTCTCATACCCGGTTGCATGTCGGAATCCAAATGAATGACCTCCATTAACAGCACATGCAACAAGATCAAGAAGCGCGAACTCTGCAATATGAACGAACTTTATCGACAGAGAAAAATCACTGCACCCGATCAACACCACAAACTTCATGATCCGTGAACCTCGCCGTGCAAAACACATTGGTTGACTTTTGCAACAGAAAGTAAGAGGCAACATTGACAAGGATTACTTCCCAAGGCCAAGAGTACTAAGACAGATGATGAAGACGGGATAACACATGAGCCAGTCTGTACTTAAAAGCAATAAATCCATCACACCTCTTGACACCCGAATACCCGAACACCGAGAAGAAAAGTGAAGGTTGAACACCAGGCCTGGTAGTTACGAGGCAGCTAGCCTCCTGCACACTTACTAGCCTTCTGCGCACCCACTAGCCTCCAGCGCACTCACTAGCCTCCTGCGTACCCACTAGCCTCCAGCGCACTCACTAGCCTCCTGCGTACCCACTAGCCTCCAGTGCACCCACTAGCCTCCTGCGTACCCATTAGCCTCCAGTGCACCCACTAGCCTCCAGCTCACCCACTAGCCTCCAGCGCACCCACTAGCCTCCAGTGCACCCACTAACCTCCAGCTCACCCACTAGCCTCCTGCGCACCCACTAGCTACCTGCGTACCCACTAGCCTCCAGCGCACCCACTAGCCACCTGCGTACCCACTAGCCTCCAGCGCACCCAATAGCCTCCTGCGCACCCACTAGCCTCCAGCGTACCCACTAGTCTCCAGCGTACCCACTAGTCTCCAGCGTACCCACACCGAGCCCACAAACCTCAGAAGTCGTGACCTACCACGTCATTAAAAAAAAAGCCCCACCTACTACACGAGAATACTTGTGCACTTGTGTCCTTTTACTTGACAATACTTATGTACCTACTTTCATGTTTGTATATGAATGTGTGCTAGGCAGTGCGGTAGGCAACCAATATCCATTTCAAGTTGACCCAAATCGTAAGGGAGGCACACCCATTACGATGTAAAAATCAAAAGTGGTTAAGTCACTTGTTATTTTATTCCTTTCCTCTTCCTCCTCCGAACTCCTCAGCCTTTTTCCATTGTTTCTCAACCTCTGGTCAAAGTTCATTCGTCCTTCATTATCATAACTTTTAATTCGGTTCTGTGTGATGATTGCTGATGTGTTCAAGGCATATTTTTGTATTTTTTTTTGTATGGTGCCGATAAGCTAGTTTACTGTAAGTCCTATAATATCTATCTCGTGAACGTAATGCAGCACCGTATGCAAATATGGTTCTTACAGGGTTAATAAAACTACAATTTATTTTTCAACAAACTGGCCGTCTCCCAGCCAATTATATCACCCGGGTGATATAATTCTTGAATATATACATCTATATTCCCTCTTTTCCTTCCATAACTGATCATTCAACATTACGGCTACTCCTTCCTTGGCTCGAACTTTCACAGATGCTCCTGACTCAATTCCATTTGTTTCTTCAGACTGAAATTTTCCTGTTACGACACTTAAGGTTCTCAAAATTTCTGGTATTTTATTTTCGCTAATAAGTCACTTCGATATATCATATTGTATATTGTAATGTATATTGTATTATAAAGTAATTTATTTGTTGATGATGCAGTAGATTTTTTTCAAGTGATTATAGAGCTGAAAGAACAAACTATATTTAGTGCCATCATCGCGAGCTGAGCAACAAGAGTTTAAAACACGTCATTCCTACAGGTCATTCCTACAGGTCATTCCTACAGGTCATTCCTACAGGTTATTCCTACAGGTCATTAATACAGGTCATTCCTACAGGCCATTCCTATAGGTCATTCCTAAAGGTCATTCCTATAGGTCATTCCTACAGGTCTTTCCTACTTCTCGCACTTGCTGGACCACTACGTGGTCCTGGATGCCAAGGAAGACCAGCAAAATGTAGATGTAGCGCACACAGACTTTGCAAAAGCCCTCGACAAGTGCGACCAAGGTGAAATAGCATACAAAAAAATGTGTGCAGATGGATATATAACTTTCTAACAAATAGAAATCGAAGAGTGAAAGTGAAGAGTGTTATCAAAGTCCTCCACAGTAATAATCTTCATTTAGCAGTGCACAGTTCTAGCCTCTGTTATTTACTATTCTCATATTCGACATAGAGACATTAATTATATCATAATATCAACAACCTCAGCAGACAATACTAAAATCTGCATGAGAGTGGCATCCACTGACGACATGATATAAACCAGTTATTCCAGTGGGCCACTGAAGAAAATATAATGTTCAAGGAAGGCAAATTTCAGTTACTTTCTAATGGAAACATTGAAAAAATAAAAATTAAAATGGAGTATTAAACTTGAATTATTCTATGGAACAAAAGTTTACTGTGAGAGACATAGGAGTGATAATGTAAAATTAGTTTCCATTTCAGTATGGCAATAATGTTATTAAAGCTGCAAGGAAAATGATAGGTTGGAAAACTAAATCCTTCAGAACAAGAGATGACAAGCCAGTGATGACAGTCTTCACGTCACATGTTATTTCCAGGTTGAACTACTGCCTATTCTAACACCTCCTATTAACTGGACAGCTGGAGAATGCACGAAGATTTTTATTTTATTTACACAAATTAATTTCACAGGCTAAGAGCTGTTTACTTACCAAGTAAGTTCAAACAAGTTCCTAAATTATTAAAACTGCTTGAAGTCCTTTGACCTTTCTCCTTGGAGAAAGATACAAGATAATTTACAGGAGGAAATTTCTGGAGGATTGGTCCTCATTATTCTCAACAAAATCTCTCTTGGAATGCAAGAGACTCGGCAATCTTTGTAACATATTTGCAATAAAAAGTATGGGAGTATGTATCCACGAATGTGTTTACATTCACTCTTCATGCATAAGGGTGGATATAGAAATCCTTAAAAGTCTGAAAGAGGGTACTTGATAGATTTTTCAAATCGATTCCTGATCAGCTGGGCAGTGGTGCACATGTTGGACTGTTTGCTGCTAGCACCAATAGCCTGAAGGATGAGATCAGAAACCGAGAACCCTGGTCTTAGACTGGACCAGGGATCATTGATGGCCGAAACTACCTATAGAGAAAATCATTTAAAGATAATTCCAAACTTGTAGATGTTCCAGTAGGTACCAAGATTCTCCGATGAGTTGTCATTTTGTGAATTATGTACCTCCATGATATAAGTTAAGGTATTGGCTTAAGCCGGTGGGAGAATTGGACCTGCCTCGCATGGGCCAGTAGGCCTGTTGCAGTGTTCCTTCTTTCTTACGTTCTTATTTTATTATAATGAAATAGTCAATAATAATCAAGGAATCATGTTGATTCTCATGAATTATTTTAGTGCCATTATGATAGCAAATAATTCAGTTTGTATTGTATAAGCAACAGTTGTAATTTTTATTCTTAACTCAGCGAGGTTTCAATTTTTATTCACAAAAGTTAATAAGAGGAGCAGCTGTGGCCCTGCCAGCCGACCTGTGTTTTGGTCTGTGTAAATAATTTGTGATATTTTCTTAAAGTTATGCTAGATATTACTTCTTGATAGTTGCCTTTGCAATATATTTAAAATAGGAATTATTGGTGATGAACTTGGTGGGCAATGAAAGGGCTTTTTACAATTTATGATTTAAATATTAAAGCTTATTTGAGGGACAGAAAACTCTTGTTGTCATATTAATAATGCTATCAGCGGTGTAGAATTTAATATCTTGCATCTTTGGTACAGTCTGTGTGTTCACTTCAGACATTATAGTTTAGATTTATGGTGACAGACTTTGAAGGTTCTCAATCTGATATATAAATAAAATAATTAAGTGGTAGTACCAATAACTTTCTCACAAAAAAGTTTGGCAGTTTAACACAAGTTAGAACGAATTATATTTCAATGTTTACATAGTTCAAGAGCACAGGATTTTTCTTCAGCTATTTTAACCAGGAGCAATAACAGCTATTTAGGTTCCAATGTACATCATTCTCAGTATCACACAGAGCCCCCAGAGTGGGGTCAACCATCAAGAGTGTGAAACGAGTTAGTTGTTTCATTTCGATAAGTTGTGTGAATGTGAACTTACATACGGTAATTCTACACTAAGGTATCTGTAAGGTTCAGCATAGCTGATAATATTACCATGCAAAAAGCAGTGGGCAGAGCAAGATTTTTATTTGTTAATATCTTATTCCTAGATGTAGAGATGTTGAGCTCTGTTTGAGGTAATTAGTCTCTCAGCCTTGATAGGTGGTTAGTTTCATATCCTTGACTAAATTTAAGTAAATGTATTAGACTGGAAACTAATATACTGAAGCCAAGGGGAGGTGCTGCAGTTGAGGATAACGTCACAGGTGGGCAGGACCCACTAGTGGAAATAGGTCATGCTCAAGAGTTGGGTTCAAAGGTCAGCAACAGAGTTGTAGAGGGAAATCTCTGTCCCAAGATTCCTTGGTGTTGTTGTGTCAGACAATGTGTCATTGCATTTATGCCAAACTCTTGGTCATTACTGAGTCTGGCTCACCGGTGGCGATGTCTTCAGTTGCTGCGCCTTCTATTTGATTCTAGTATATAAGTCTTCGTCCTCATGCATCTGCTTTAATTCCATGAAGACTCTTGGAATGAGCATCTTTAGTCAAACCTGAAGGAGTGACTACCTAATCTTCTATTATCTCTAGTAACGAATTTAAAAAAAACACTAGTTGGCAGAAAGTCTTCATAAATAAATATACCCGAGCGTTGCACATGTGTCGTATTCATCAACTGTCGGTGTTGTGTACCATTAATGTAATTATACTTGTCTCACACTACAGCACTAATCTCATCTCCTGGAGTCTACTTGGAGAGTGTTCCGAGAGTCAACGGTCCCTCTGCCTGGTCCCAGACCAAGCCTACCGGTGGATGGCCTGATCAACCAGGATATCTTTTACAACTATATTGCTAACCTCTGGCCCAACTTAAGGGCATGACCTACTTTCACTGGTGGGTCCCGCCCACCTACGAATATGTCTTCAGTTGCTACACCTCTCCTCTGCCTCATCATACAAGCTTCCAGCCTCATGGATCTACTTTAGTTTAGTTAAGGCTAAGGGACTGACTACCTTCCATCAAGGTTCAGGAACTACTCATGCTATCTTCCACTCTATCCAGTACATAATCTTTGTATTGTAATGAAAAAAAGCCCCTGGTTGGCCGAACTTTTTTATAAATAAGGAAGCCCAGGTATTGCATCTATCATCAACTTGTCGGTACTATATATCATAAATGTAAAATGAACAGAAAGTCTGGCTTCAAGCCTGACAGGGAGAGTGGAAAACACCTTGAAAATAGTTACAGGTATATCACAGGTATGTCGCAGGTTAGAATAGTTAGTTGAAATATAACCAAATTTTTCTAATATGACATATGGAAATGCATTTTCAAGAAGTGTGTTTAGACGATGTGAGAGAACACTTGAAGCTGCTGAGCAGATTGATATTAATATGTCGCCAAAGACAACGTTTCAGTTTTCTCAACGTGCCTTTTCATAGACTGTAATTATAGTTAAAAAAAAAAGGTTCTCTTTAAAAGCTGGATTTATCCCCTAGTGAAACATAGGCGATGGAAACAAAAACGTAACAACTTCACTAGTTGTGTGAGGCAGACGAGCAGTAACTGAAGGAAGTTAACAGTGAAGCCAGATAAGGAATTATTACACATAATGGTCAGTGTTGGTACTATCCAAATGCTTTCCCATCCCGAATATTGTTCTGTGTTAACAACTAGAAGCATCAGAACAGCCAAACTTGCTGACATCGTGAACTACCGGCGTAGAATTAAACATCTATATATTATTAGGAGCTACTCGAAGTTCTCCCAATGTATTCTCTGAAATATACAAGATATTCTACACATAATAATCTGCACATGAAATACCCCAATATAACAAGCTATTAATCTGCTCACTATAATAGTTTAATTGAATAAAGGATGCGGAAGGATGTGTTAAATAAACCGACTGAAAAGTGTGAATGACAGCATCACAAATTAGTGAACACTGTTTCAACATCCCTAGTCCATCACACAGTAGTTTTCTTCAAGTACATACAAGAAATATTGCTAGAACGAGTGTGATTGATGAGACACAGATAGAGCACAGTCATCAGTGAGGCTGGTTGCATAGTACAGCACCGTCACTAGTAACTAGGTAGTTCCTTGATGTAACATCGTTGCCAGTGAGTAGCTAGTTGGATATTATATCACCATAGCTACTGGATGGTTAGTTAGATGATTCATTACTGTCTCCAGTAGGTGGCTAGTTGGATGATATTACCGTCTCCAGTAGGTAATTTGCTGAAAATTATCGTCCCGTCCCCAGCAACTAGATATCTATATAACATAGCTACTCTGGAAACTAGTTAGCTGGGTGGTAAAGCTCAGCCAACAGTAATTAGCAAGGTTGATGGCACATAATCTGCAAATACTAGGTAGATTATATTGTACGGTTTACAGTAACTAGCTGCTGGTAGCTAGTTGTTGACGGTATAGCATCTATCTGGTAGGTAGTTAGTTGGATGGTATAGCACTCTCTAGAAGTCATTTAGTTGGATGGTATATTAATGTCTCTCGTAGCCATTTAGTTGGATGGTATAGCTCTATCTTCAGCAGCTAATTTCTTGGACGGAATAGCACAATAACCTAATAGGCACAGTACAAAGAACTATTAGTGATGAATGGTTTTGAAAGCCGACAAGTTGAAGATTGAGACACTTACGCAACATATAGGAATCTTCATTGAGGAAACGTTTCGCAACACAGTGGCGCCACTGTGTGGCAAAACGTTTCCGCGATAAAAACTCCCATATGTTGCATAAGTGTCTCAATCTTCAAAGAACTATTAGGTCTATGCAAAGTTTAGTTTAAACCAGCAGATAACTGAATCACCTAAGAACGACGATACTCTAAACTTGATCTGCACGAATAATGAGAAACTAATCAGAGACTT